CACACACACACACACACACACACACACACACACACACAGAGAGAGAGAGAGAGAGAGAGAGAGAGAGAGAGAGAGAGAGAGAGAGAGAGAGAGGATTTGAGCAGACTCTTCCCTTCTGCCCGCTCCGGCCACTTCCTCCACCCGCCTCCCTTCTCTCTGCTGCTGGTGAAGCTGCAACAGGAAGCTGTGACATAAAGCTGTGACATGAAACTGTGACATGAAGCTGTGACATAAAGCTGCAACATGAAGCTGTGACATGAAGCTGCTTGTTGGAAGTAGAAGTAACTCTGGAAGTGGCAGTTGCGCACATGTTGGACTCAGCTGCTTCTAAGGTCTGTTGTGCTTTTTGCTGCTTGATTGATTGTCTAAGACACTGTTTTTTTTTTGTTTGGTTAATGTGTGTTTTGAAAAACAGGTTTATGAGAAGGAGAAGAATCTAAGGATGATGATGAAGATGCATGGCCTCGGAGATAACGCCTACTGGGTTATTTCCTATGGCTATTTCTTTGTCATCAGTATTCTGTACAATGGTTTGTTCTTGGCGGCCGCATCTGCAATCCGATTGAACTTCTTTATACGGAACGATTACAGTGTCCAGGTGGTATTCTTCTTCCTCGTAGCGAACAACATCATTGCTCTATCATTCCTAATAACTCCGCTCTTCTCCTCTGTCAAAACGGCTATGGTCGTGTCGTATCTATACGTGTTCGGGATGGGTCTTTTGGGCGAGTTTGTGATTCGAAACTTTTGGGAGGATGTCACTCTTACCCCTTGGCTTCTTAGATGTATCCAGATTGTCCCTGCTTGGGCCATCTATAGGGGTCTTCTGGAGCTCGGAGCGTACGCGTCAATCGCTAAGTACGAGGGGTCGCGGGGGCTGTCGTGGGACCGCATGTCGGAGCCGTACAACGGCATGGATGAGGTGATGTATACCCTGCTGGTGGAGTGGTTTGTCTTCTTGTTGCTCGCCCTCTACCTCGACAAAGTGGTCGTAACGGGGAGTGGAGTGAAGCGCCATCCGCTGTTCTTTTTGAAGTATTTCTGGCGACGCTGGGGCGATAAAGGGGCCGACGGGAAACGTGTACCTTTGATGTCGTTGCCGGGCGATGCACAGCAGGACGTGTTGGAGGAGCGCGCGGCAGTCGAGTTGGCCCTCAATGACCCCAAGGGCTACTCAATTGTGTGCGATCACCTTCGCAAAGTATATCCGGGGGTAGATGGCAATCCGGAGAAAGTCGCTGTGCGGGAATTATCGCTTGCAGTCCGACGGGGCGAGTGTTTTGGGATGTTGGGCCCGAACGGTGCTGGGAAAACCACCAGCATCAACATGATGATTGGTTTCTTGAGTCCGTCTTCTGGCAACGCTTTGATCGAAGGTCTCTCCATCGATGACGATGTCGATATGATCTACTCTTTGATGGGTGTTTGTCCCCAGCACGATCTCCTTTGGGAGTCCCTGACCGCAAGGGAGCACCTGTGGTTCTTTGGCCGCCTCAAGAATCTCAAAGGCCAAGAGCTCAAAGATGCAGTGGACGCATCCCTCAAAAACGTCGACCTTCATCATGCAACAGTGGCCGACCGGTTCGCAGGCAAATACAGTGGCGGGATGAAGAGAAGGCTCAGCGTTGCCATCTCGTTGATCGGCGATCCTCTCGTGGTCTACATGGATGAACCGAGCACGGGCCTCGATCCCGCGTCTCGAAACAACCTCTGGAAAGTCGTGAAGGCCGCAAAGAAGAACAGGGCGATCATCCTGACAACGCATTCCATGGAGGAGGCCGAGGCTCTGTGCGACCGGATCGGCATCGTTGTCGATGGCGAGTTCCAGTGCATTGGCGCGCCGAAGGAGTTGACCGCGCGCTATGGCGGGACGTTCGTCTTCACCATATCGACTCCAGTTAGTCAAGAGGCGGAGGTGCAGGACCTCGTCATCTCTCTCTCGCCAAATGTCAGGAAAATTTATGGAATCGGAGGCACCCAGAAGTTCGAAATGCCGGTGGGCGACGTGAAGATTGCCGACGTGTTTGCCAGAGTGGAGGCCGCCAAAAAGCGGCTGACGATCCATGCTTGGGGAATTGCAAATACAACACTGGAGGACGTCTTCATCAGGGTTGCGAAAGAGGCTGGTAATGTCATGTGAACTTGACCCGAATCTGGCTGTAACTCTGGCCAGATACGTTCAGGGAAGTGCGACTACAAGGGTACGCCTTAGAAGGTGTTTGGCAGTCGGTTGCTGTGAGGTGGGCAGATGCCGGGGACGTGGCAGTTATGAAGTAGAGTGATTTTCTTATTTTTTGAACCTTTTTCGGAGCTCGAAGTGATTTTCCTTGAGGAGGAGGGAGTATCATCATTCAAATAGATATATATATATATACTTCTCCCTCTCTGCCTACGGTTTACCGGGCAGTTCTATTTGACGATATATATATATATATATCCTCCTGATGAGTCGGTGAAACTCCGACGAAACAGTTTGTCACAGCCCCT